GCTCATCAGAGCACCAAAACCTGGCCAGCTGGCAAAACTCCCACGTTGATTATCCACCACATCAAGTATCAAGGAGCACACAGATATGCACCCACAGCCTTATGCACCGCTTCTAAAAGCAAAAGCATCTGGGTCTTGGGAAGACTCAGTGCAGTCGTGCTAGTCCAAGTGCCTCATCTTCACAGGTCAGGACACTAAGGCCTCAGTGAGATGTCCAGAGACACCTGCCAGCCAGAACCAGCACCTACTCTCCAGCTCTGACCTGTGCTCAGAAGGAGCTCCACAGAGTGCTCGGAAGACTGCTGAGGAGGGAGGCCTAACGGCCATAGTTTCGGAAGAAGTAATCCTGACAGGTGACCAAGAAACCAGATGTAATTTATGTTTAATTCTAATTTAATTCTACTACAAGGGAGCCTGAAGGGAAAAATGGGAGCTCTAGTGGGGAAGATTCTTCACCCTATCTTAACTCCATCTTGGAATCGAATTTGGAATTGAATCCAAAAATAATAATGATTAAGTACTGATTTATGAGACTCTGGAGTGGGGAAAGGGGAGATGTGTAAGGATAAAAAAATACAGTGAAGAAAGAGAGGTAGCCCTAGCTGCTGTTTCCTCCTTAACGAAGAGAACTCTGAATGGCTTTGGGTCTGCTAATGGAATTTATCTGCACTGGAATGGAAATAAGAGCAGAAAGTGCTTAAAGAGATCAACTTTAACCTGAGGTGTTTCCGGTTTCCATGTGTTTCTTTCTTTGCTACCTGGAGTATATTCAGGATGCTTCTGGTTCTTGAAAGAGGAAACAGAGTGGTCTTTTTTCACTACTTTCTTTTTTTCTGGCACCTTCAAAAGAAAAAAATACCAAAAGTTTGTAAAATATCATGGAAATTTTAAAGAAAAATCTTCATGCAAAAAAATAACCTGCTTTCTGAGTTTTAAAAGTCCCTTCTCACCCATACCAGCCAGCACAAAAAAAAAAAGTCCTTTCTCAAAAGAGGGTTGAACTAACATTTCAGAAACTGCACTGTAAAGACTGTGCTTTCTCAGGTGTCCTGTCTATGAGGAAGAGAAACTAGAGAGTACTGACAAAACCTACTGGGGTGGGGAGAAATGACACGCACAAGCTAAAACTCAAGATTTAAAGCTTTGTACACAAAAGGCATGATGAATATGTAGTCGTTACGTTGATGCAACAGTCTCTCAATAAGCCATTTAAAAATCAAACAAATGTGTAGTATAGTCAGAGAGCCTGGGTCAATTAACATTTTTACATCAGGGAACGTGAGATGGGGAAAAACACAAACTGAGAGTAGCATCCCACAAGCACGTTATTTACCATTCATTTACTAGCAATGCCACAACGCTCTGAATTTTCCTTTCTCGTATAACCGGACATTAATCTCTTTCCCCAGAAGCTTTCCCACACCCCCCAGTGTTGAGAACAAAAGGCTGGTACCAAAGGCTGGGACTTGGCAGAGGTGAAAAGATTATCATCTTCATCATCCCCAAACAGGCTCCCAACACGTGGCTCTGACAACTAGAACAGACAACACTCAAATTCAATGTCGCTGAAAAACAATTTACAAAGGCAGCTAGGTAAGCTGTTGAGACAACATCTAACACAATAACAAAGCCACAATGTGGGGAACCATTTGGAACTGACCCTCGTTTTTTTGGTGCCAGCAAAAAGGTCAACATCTGGGTCATTGTCCTTTTGGAGCTTGTGGCTGAAAAGGAGCTCTTCATCCTGAAAGACACCTGTGCTCTTGGGGCGGGCATCAGGATCGGGACCCTGAGGAAAAGAGGGAAGGTCACATGTCATTAGACATCTATGGATTTGCCTCAAGGAAACCATATATGTGCAAAACTGAACACAATAAAGACATCTCCTGCAACCTTTTACATTGGCAAAAGGCTGGCCACGGCTTAACTGCCCATCAGTGGGAGAACAACACATTCACACAATGGAATACTATGGAGCTACCAAAAATAGTGGAGAATCTGTTTATAAATACACATAACATATACATAATATGAAAAGATTACCTTTCAACCTTTGTATAGTGTCTGAACTTTCTATCAAAAAAAAAAAAATCCAATAGTCCCATAATGAAAAACACTTTGGGGATAAAAATACATAAAATTAAATGAGTTCTCTCTATCTCATTCCCAAAGGGAAGAAGAAACAGCAGCTGATTTAATCCCAGAAACTACACAGACTGGCCATGTGTATATCCTTAACCTGTCAGCATCCCAGTCCAAAGACATATCACAGGTGTGACTAGCAAGCCTTCCCCAATACCTGTCAATCACTTCTATCCCACTACCTTCAGACTGCAAATGAGTTCTTTTTTTGTCTGCTCCGATATCTCACAGTTAAAAGTTACTATTAATGTTACTTGGTTTGATAATAAAATGCGCCACACCTCACATTCTAAAATTCGTCCCTAGTTATTCTTTAGCATCATAAGCACAGATTAAAACAGACAATATCCCCCCTTGTGATTAAATAAATCACATTAATAATTAACTAATAATAAATTATTACTGTTAACACATAAAAACCAGCTTAGCATAGCGATTAAAGTTAAAAATTTCAGAATCATGGAAAAACAGTACAAAATCATATATAGTAATAGACTGGGAGAAAATATCGAAAATTATTCATATATACATCACTGTGTATAGCTCATTTATAAACAGGGTTATACTACTGGTGTAAAGAGAAAAAGTCATAAAATGTTTTTTGTAGAAATCAATACAGACTGTTTCTTCAGTTTGGTACACAAAAAGTTTTGGCAATCTATGGCCTGCCAACTTAGGTTGTTTTTTTTAACATCTCTACTGAGATAAAATTTACCCATTAAAAGTGTACCCATTATTCATTGATTTTTTAGTATATTCAGAAAGTTGTGCAAACACCACACAAGCTAAGTTTAGAACATTCTCATCACCCTAAAAAGAAACCCCAAACCATTAGTGTCACTTCCCATTCCTGCCCAACTCCTTCACCCAGTCCCAGGCAACCACTCGTCCACTTTCTGACTTTTATGCATTTGCCTCTCCTGGACATTTCACATAAATGGATTCAGGCAGTGTGTGGTATTTTGTGGACTGGCTTCTTTCATCCCAGGCAACCACTCGTCCACTTTCTGACTTTTATGCATTTGCCTCTTCTGGACATTTCACATAAATGGATTCAGGCAGTGTGTGGTATTTTGTGGACTGGCTTCTTTCATCTAGCAAGTTTTCCAGGTTCATCATGTTGTAGCACGTATCAATACTTCATTCTTTTTATTGCCAAACAATATTCCATTGCATGGATAATACTACATTGTTTTTATCTATTCATCAATGGATGGACATTTGAGTTGTTTCCATCTTTTGGCTATTATAAATAATGTTGCTGGGAACATTCACATTCAAGTTCTTGTATGAACATATGTTTTCATTTCTCTTGGGTATCTACCTAGGAGTGGAATTGCTGGGTCATGTGGTACCACTATGTTTTAACAATTTGAGAAACAGCTAAACTATTTTCCAGAGTGGTAGTACCACTTCACATTCTCAAAGCAATTAATGAGGGTTTCAGTTTCCCCACATCCTCAACATTTGTTACTTTCCTATTTTGTTTTTTTATTATACCCATCCTGATGGGTGTGAAGTGGTATCTCATTGCGGTTTTGATCTGCATTTCCGTAATAACTGACAATGCTGAGCATCTTTTCATGTGCTTTATGACCATCTGTGTATCTTCTTTGGAGAAATGTCTATTCAGATCTCTTGCCCATCTCTTAATTGGGTTACCTTTTTATTACTGAGTTGTAAGTCTTTTACACATTCTGGATCTAAGTCCCTTTATCAAATACATAACTTGCAAAGATTTTCTCCCATTTTGTGGATTGTCTTTTTCCTTTCTTGATGGTGTACTTTGAAGCACAAATTTTTTCATTTTAATAAAGTCCAATTTGGCTACTTACTCTTTTGTCACTCGTGCTTTTGGTGTCATATCTAAGAAGGCTTTGCCTAATCCAAGGACATCATGCTTTACTCCTACAGTGTCTTCTGGAAATTGTACAGTTTTAGTTCTTATATTTGCGTTTAAGATCTAGTCTGAGTTTATTTTTGTGTATAGTGTGGGGTAAGGGTCCAACTTCATTCTTTTGCATGTGAATAAACAGTGCCTTATGCCATTTGTTGAACAGACTATTCTATTCTCATTGAATTATATTTGCACCCTTGTCAAAAAACAATTTACTGTAAATGTGAGGGTTTATTTCTGGACTCTCAATTCCATTTCACTGTTCTATATACTTTAACCTTTTGCCAGTACCACACCGTCTCGAAATAAGTTTTGAAGCATGAGTCCTCTAACTTTGTTCTTTTTCAAGACTGCTGGCTATTCTGGGTTCCTCGTACTTCCATAAAAATTTTAGGATCAGCTTGTCCACTTCTGCAAAAAAGCAAGCTGGAATTTTGAGAGGGACTGCATTTGATCTATAGATCAATTTGGGCAGTATTACCATCTTAACAATATTAAGTCTTATAGCACATGAATGTGAGATGTCTTTCCATCTATTTTAGATCTTTAATTTCCTTCAACATTTTCTAGTTTTCAGTGTATGTAGTGAATTGAATTATACCTCCCCAAAACTCAATGAACTTGAATTATACATCCCCCAAGTTTTATGTATTAGAAACTTAGCCCCCACTGTGACTGTTAACAGGGTAGGAACTCCTATTATGGTAATTGTAAGGTGGGGCCTTGAAGAGGTGATTGGGTTGTAGGACTGTGCAGTAATGAATGGATTAAAAATGGTGGAGAGGGGCACTGTTCTGAGGGCTTTAAAATAAGAGAGGAGGGTCTGTCTCTCTTTCTTTCTGCTCTCTCTGCTTCCATCATCTTGCAATGTGAGACCCTGAGTCACTGTCACTACCACCAGATGGACTTTGGACTTCCCAGTCTCAGAAACTGTAACCAATTAATTTCATTTTCCTTATAAATCACCCAGTTCCGTGTATTCTGTTATAAGCAACATAAACGGACTAATACAGTGTACAAGTATTAAAATTCTCTTGTTAAATTTATTCCCGAGTATTCTATCCTTTTTGTTGCCACTATAAGTTAAATTGATTTCTTCATTTCACTTTCAGACTGTTCATTACTAGTCTGAACTACAATTGATTTTAATATATTAATCTTATATCCTGTAATCTTGCTGAATTTGTTCAGTTAGTTCTAACAGTGTTTTTGTAGATTCCTTAGAACTTTCTATATATACAAGATCATGCATCTGCAAAAGAGATAGTTTCGCTTCTTCCTTTCTAATCTGAATGCATTTTATTTCATTTTCTTGCCTAAATACCCTGCCTAGAACCTCCAGTACAAGGTCGACTAGAATTGGCAAGAGTGGACATCCGTGTCTTATCCATGATCTTACAGGGAAAGCATCTAGTTTTTCATCATTAAGTGTGATGTTAGCTGTGGGTTTCCATATATGTCCTTTACCAACTTGGGGAAGTTCCCTTCTATGCCTAATTTGTTGAGTGTTTCTATTCATGAAAGGGTTTGCATTTAATCAAATGCTTTCTCTGCATCTGTTGAAATGATCATATGCTTTTTAGCCAGTATTTTATTGATGTAGTTATATTATATTTATTGATTTTCAGATATTCAACCAATCTTGCATTCCGGGGATAAATCCCACTTGTTGTGATGTATAATCCTTTTTATATTTTGCTGGATTGGGTTCACTAAAATTTTGTTGAGGATTTTGGCATCTATATTCATAAAGAATATTGGTTTGTAGTTTTCTTGTGAAGTCTCTGTCTAGTTTTAATATCAGGGTAATAGTAGCCTCACAGAGTGACTATCACCTATATTTATTAATAAAATGTATTAAAACACAGTCATGCCCATTCATTTTCTTTTTTTATTTTCTAGGGCTGTTTTCACGCTACCAATGGCAGGGCCGAACAGCTACAAGAGAGCCCATATGGTCTGCGAAGGCTAAAATAGTCACTATATGGCCTTCTACAGAAAGAGTTTGCTAACGCCTGATAAATATAGAAGGTCTAACTACAACACGAATTTCTAAAATTTAATGCTAGAAATACTTAAGTGCACAGATCTGGCCTCATTTTCCTTTTCTGTTGCTCTTACCTCATAACCGGCCAAGGGGCAAAGGTTTGCTAGGAGGAACAATGTGGTGTGTAAATCCCAGCAGATCTAGAAATTCTAATCCCCTATTCAACAGCACTATCTGAGGTAAGAGTCACGGATGTTGATCCCCAAATACCTAAATGACTAGAAAGCACCATTTACGCTCTGCACTGAAGGTGAAGATTCCTTCAGTAACTCACATGACAGAAATGACATAATAAAATGAGATTCTTTTATCTCATCTAGAGACTTGAACTTTTACTGCTTTTGGCTCACCTTTCCTGCTTCTTTCATTGGAGCTGGGATGCTGTTTTGATCTTCTGTTTTATCCTCTTCCTCGTCAAACAAGCTAAGAACAGTTTTGCTTCTGCCCTTGGTTCCTTTGTCCATTGGGCATGAAGAAAATAAGTCAGAATGCTTGACTGCTTCCTGAGCAGATATAGTCAAAAGTCCTTTCTGAAAATGGAAATAATGAGGGGAAAAATAAGTAATACCTGGAAAAACAAATCCTATCATGGGGCCTCCCGAGCTCCTCATTAATTCAGCAACTGCCACATCTGCATGATTCAGGGAAATACAGCTAATCACATCTCCTCGCAAGTAACCAAACACTGAGGTCAATTCCTCATTGGCTGCTCTAATAGCGAATCTTGTACAAATAATCCATAGCCCAAAATAAATTTCCCAATCAGTTTAAGGCCATAGCTCCCTCCCTCCTACTGAGTTATAGGGCAGTTCTAACCCCGAACTTCTAAATCAAAGAGATAACACAAATGCCAATCATTGGGAGTGGATCATATATTTCCTAGTATTTAAGTAATATAAAAGTCCCAAAAGAAAACCTAATCAGCAAAATCAGACACTCAAATTGCAGAAGGCTTATTACATTGTATATGCAATTAAAATAATCCTAAAATGCAGTACTTATTCATTCAACCAGTACCACGTTTCAAGTAAGATACCACTGATCGTCAGAACCATTACTGCATGTACCACTGAGAAAGAAAAACAACTCCCCATTAAACATGCCATTGATTGTGAGGTCCATCCCAATTTCAGAGTGTTTAAACTGTGAAAAAGTATGCACATTTAGGGCTGGCCCTTAGCTCAGCTGGTTAGAATGTGGTGCTGATAACACCAAGGTCCAGGGTTCTATCCCTGTACCAGCCAGCTGCACCCCCCATCCCAAAAAAGTATGCATCTTTGAAGAAATATGTAATTTATAATATAGTGCCTACTATGTGAAAGGTAACATGCTAAGTGCTAGAGATACAATGGTGGAACAAAACAAACCTGGTCCCAATCCTCAAGGAGCTTATACTGCAGTGAGGGAGAGGGTAGTAGGACAAGCAGTGAGAATCAAGTGTGCAATGAGCTAGGACTGGGGTGACCCAGGCCCACACACAGCCTCTGGGAAGAGAACCTCACACAGTGGCCCAGGTACAAATAGAACACTTTGGCATGATAGTTCCAAGTAGGCTCAACGGGGACAGTGAATGCACGTTCTTCACGTCAGCCCTGGGAGAGAGATTAAACCTAAGCAGTCGACACACAGTACAAGCAAAGTTTAGGGAAATGAAGTGGCCAACAGAGCCCGAAGGCAGCCACAAATGGGATCAGCCCTGGGAGAGAGATTAAACCTAAGCAGTCGACACACAGAGTACAAGCAAAGTTTAGGGAAATGAAGTGGCCAACAGAGCCCGAAGGCAGCCACAAATGGGAAGCCAGCATCCACGGTTGACCAGACATGGCCAGCAAGATTAACCATAGGCCTCCAGTGAGAGATGACAGGCCATTTGTGGGGAGACAGCTGGGGCTTAAGAAGAAGATGAATTCCACTCTACCTGTAACTCATAGCCAACATCAACTAACCATAAAAGAATGGTAAACTAAAATCTTCTTAAAACTGACATTTTTACTCAGGCACAGGTGGAAACTAGAGGAGAACCAAGGATAAGAGGAATGTTACGGAGAACAGAACAAATCAGAACGAGCAAATAAACAGAAGTAAAGGTAAAATGTATAAAATTTTGCTAATCCAGTCCCAGTGGATTATATATTTGTGTTATCTCTGTGGCTTACAAGTTCTTTCTAGTTTATGAGCAACCTGTGTGTGTCGGGGTTATACCTGTCCTGTCACTTGATAGGAGGAAGGGACCCATGGCCTTAAAGTGATTGGAAAAATTACGATATATATGTCAACATGACAATAATAAGGTAAACCAGGAAGCACGCACACCACTGTGGCGCATGTGTGTCTAGAGAAGAGGCCAGAAGGAAGGGCAATGGGAAAGGCTTCCCTGAACAGTGGGCGCACAGATCGTCTACCGCGTACTGTCAGTGTTTCAAATCTTTCTACAAGTGAGCCATTTATTTTTTGTGGTAGAAAAACGTAAAGATTTGTGTGTTCATCTGTGTTACAACAACACACGAGAGACAAACATATTAGAGTATACAAGAGAAAAAAGACCACCTTTTCTGACTCCATGTCAGTTCTCCCAAATTCTGAAGACTCTTTGGGACTCTCAACCTTCTTATCCACAGGTTTCACTCCAAATTGTGCCTCCTTCTCTTCGTTGTTGCTGAACAGCAAAGGTGGTACTTCAGGGACAGTCTCTTTTTTCTACCAAAAGAAGAGTAAATGACACTCGCAACAATAAAAAGTGTGGCAGACCAGCCTGGCAACATACAGAACAAGCTGGAGCCAGCTTAGGGGACCAGCTAGATGTGGTGGTGGCAGAGAGGACAGGATGGTGAAGGTGGCATCAACGGGGAGGAGCAACAGACACTGCTACCTTAGACTTGCAGACAGCGCACATCACAGTTTCTGCCACCACAGCACGTCGTCTGCATCTGTCCCCTGTGTTTGTCCCTCCCATGCTGCCCTTGCACAGGTCCTTACCTCTGCCACCAGATAATCATAAGTCTCTCTCTGCCTTCCTCCTCCTGCATTTCAACTACACAATATCATCCAGAATTGTCTTGATAAAATTAAAATACCTGCCAATTACTTCATCTCCTGCCCCAAGCCTGCACTCTGCATTAAGCAAATGACAATCAACAGACACCCCAGTATGTCCCTCTTTTCTCCTGCACCTTAGCATTCCTCACTAGTCCTGAAACACACTGCAAACATACACACTTCCATATCTGCTCCCCTCACTGTCTGCAGAAGCAAATCCTCCTCATCTCCCCAGCAAGGCCCAGCTCAGATGTCACCCATAAAGGTGCTCCTGTCCTCTTCAGTAAGGATCAGTTGCTTTGTTGAATAATCATATTATTTTTATCTCTACCTGGTCCTTACTTTACTTTCTTCCTAATTTAAGTGAACAGCTAGCACACATCTGTTTGCCCATTTATTGGAAAGGACCATATAGTGTATTTACGCAGCCAGCCATGCCGTTTTATACCAAGCAGGTGCTCAGTGCAAGTTTGCAAGTACTCTGGCCCGTTTCTTACCTCTTCCTTATCTGGATGCCAGAGATACTAGGGATTAGAAAACTGAGATTATGTGACTTACCTAGAGAAATTGGCATTCTTGGGGCAGGTGACTTATCAACAAATTCCTAAGAAAAAACAAACTTTAGGGCAGGCCCGGTGGCGCACTCAGTAGAGTGTGGCACTTGGGAGTGCGGCGGCACTCCTGCCGAGGGTTCGGATCGCATATAGAGACGGTCCGCTCACTGGTTGAGCACGGTGCGGGCGCGACACTGAGGGTTGCGATCCCGTTGCCGGTCGCGGTATAGGCGCAACACTGAGGGTTGCAATCCCGTTACCGGTCACGAAAAAAGACAAAAAGGAAAAAAAAAAAGAAAAAACAAACTTTATCATACTAACTAGACTAGATGATATCAGGAAATAAGCTTTGAAGCAATGCCTAAATCAAATTATGCAATGCCTAAATCAAGAAGGCAGATTTGGGAAACTAAAGGATTTTACTAAATATGATAGAAAAAAGTGATGAATGAGATATGAATGGGGAAGGGAGAAATTAGTTATTGTTAGGAATAGATCCTTAAAATGCAAAATCACTTAAACTTGAAATAAAAGAAGACTGGAAGCTCACAAAGAACTTCAGAAGAGATAAGTCAACGCCGAAGTGATTAAAGGAAAAAATTCTTGTCGAACATGCTGGACTCACCGAAAACTACATAAAATTTCAACTCAAGCTGATCAAGTAGATAAGAGACTCAAGTTCAGCAAAAACATATTTTCCCTTCATGTAACTAACGTCTTTAAACCAAGGAAAATGCCATCCAAAGTACTAGTTTTTTTTTTTTTTTTGTCTTTTGTCTTTTTTCCGTGTCCGGCAACGGATCGCAACCCCTAGTTTTAAAAATCTCCCTGAAGATAAGCTGACTTCTCATCTTTGTCATGAAATTTATTTTCTTGATAGGCTTATGGCCAACTGACATTTAACTTTCTTTAAAATATTCCAGGATCTCTAAACCAAAAATCTTCTTTTTTTTTTCCTTTTTGTCTTTTTTCGTGACCGGTAACAGGATCGCAACCCTCGGTGTCGCACCTGCACCGCACTCAACCAGTGAGTGGACCGGTTTCTATATGGGATCCGAACCCTCGGCGGGAGCACCGCCGCGCTCCCAAGCGCTGCACTCTACCGAGTGCGCCACTGGGCTGGCCCCCAAAAATCTTTTATCTACTATTATCTAACAGTGCTTATAGTTCATAAATGACAAAACACATGTGTGCAGGCTATTCAGCTACTTAAATGTACATCTTGACCTTTTGTTTTATTTAACAATCATAATTAGCAAGGTTGAAAGAAGTTTTACATTTCCAGAGTCTTTGAAATTCATTAAATTCTTGCTCACCTATCTTCTAGTATAAGTTATTTATAATTGCCAAGGAAAAACCAATCAGATCTCCTGACTCTTTAAACCGTGGAGCCACTAGATGTCCTCTTTAGTGAGGTGTAAGCACAATGCTCAAGGAAAGGAATCTGAGCCCCTCAGAAGCAGCGGCAAGGTGCCCAGGGCCAGGGCAGGCAGCAAGCTTTCCCAGGGCTGAAAGCATCCAGCACAAACTGTGCAGCCCCCTTAATGGGAAGGAGGCAAGGAAAGAGTTACTAACTCATTAACTGACATGTGCAGCCTGCACTGGGAAGCTGTGATAAGACGACTTAACATCTGCCCTAAGTCTGGAAAGATGAAGAATTTTCCACACAAAAGAGGCAACAACCTCCCCTGGACTATTCTGGGACCGGATGAGCCACCCAGAGCACAGAGAAGTAGAGCACAGTGCAAAGGCAGGTGGAAAAGATGAGCTGAGTGTGAACAGGATCACAGGTGACACTGGAGGTTAAGCTAAAGCATGTGGACACGGCGATGCAAGGACCAGGCATGTCATCAAGAAGAGAACTACAACAACAGCAAGGACAGCAGATGAGGAAAAAGAACATGTGCAGGGCGCCAGGCAAGAAATTCTCTCCACAGTCAAGACTAAAGATGACCAGGCTGGAGGGATGGGAAGATTCATTTTTGACATAAAACTGATAGGAAACGGTGACTGATTGATTACTCAGTCGATGGAGAAACAGTCACACAGGTCCCTCTATAATTACACTATAGGATACTATATAGTGGAGGAAAAGAACAGGTAGAACCTGCAGAATGAAAAACATGCTGTAGGACAAAAAAAAAGATGTCTAAAAATGTATTATGTGATCCCATTTAAATTTAAAAAATAAATGAAAATGCTTAGAAATAGTTCTGAAAGGACTGACAACACATTGTTACCAATGACTACATCTAGGCAATGGTATGGAATAGGGACTTTATACTCTCTATGCACTTCCTAAACCTTTTAAAAGGCGTTCATACATTACCCTGGAATTAAAAATAAACTTTAAGCAAAAAATACCTAGGCCTGGCTGGTTAGCTCAGTTGTTAGAGCACGGTGTTGAAAACACCAAGGAAGATCCCCTACAGGCTAGCCACCAAAACAAACAAACAAACAAAAAATATCTAGGAGGTATGGAAGTAAAACCCAGTGTCAGCCTCTAGAAACCAGGAAGTCCAAGGCTCTTCTACTGCTCTATCCTCCTTACCTGCACCCCCAAGCAGGAGCAATGTCCCTAGGGTTGTACATAAATCAGGGATTTGGTAGGGCAGGGTTTTCATCAAGCTGGGGGGTGGGGGGTGAGCTGCCATTCTAGACTCTTTGGTCCTGATTTATATTAACAGCCAATCAGTAAAAAAGAAGGAAATTCTCACAGGTGCTATGACATGCATAAACCTTGAGGACATTCTGCTAAGTGAAATAAGCCAATCACAAAAGGACAACTGCTATATGATTCCGCTTACATGAGGCATCTAGAGTAGCCAAATTCAAACAGAAAGTAGAACAAGGGCTGGCTGGTTAGCCCAGCTGGTTAGAGTGGAGCCTTATAACACTAAGGTCAAGGGGTCAGATGCCAGTACTGGCCAGCTGCCAAAAAAAAAGAAAAAAAGAAAGTAGAATGGTGGTTGCCAGGGGCTGCAGAAGGGGGGGAGAACCAGGGAATTTTTAATGAGTACAGGGTACTTGAAACATGCTGATAAAAGGAGTAATTTGTGCCTTACCTGGCCTAGTCTAATGGCAGCAGAACTTCATGCCACCGGCTCCCACACTGGAGGCGGCCCAGGGTCTCCCCCCCTCCCCCCCTGTCTCGCATCTTTCTGGCTCTCACACGTGCTGAATTGGAGTAGTCTGAGGCTGGAGGTGAAAGCTCTCACAGCAGGCTTTGAGTCTGCTTTCAGGCCAATCCAACTCAGGTAAAGGAGGTCTCCATAAGGCCTAGCCTAAATTGTTGAGGCTGTCAACAATTGCCAGTTGGTAATAAAGGAGTGCTGGGCCTCACTTGGTTGTTCTACGTGCAAACTCACACACCCACAGAGAAAACGTGTTAGGGGATGAACGACAGCGCAAAGGCAGGGTCCCAGTACTCCCAGGTTCTCTGGACGAATATCATCCTCATGCCACCTTCCTCTTGTCCTTTAGTACTCTTTTCTTATATAACCAAAATCAAGAATGGCTTAGGGGATTATGGTAGTGACACCATTTAGAAGTAACTAGCGAGAGGGTATTTTACTGACTAACTTTTTTTCCTCTTTATCATATACTTCAACTTTTTAAAATTGTCATATACTTTAATTTTTTTTTAAAAAAATTGTTTTTATTGTAGTAAAAAACACATAATGTAAAATTTGTCACCTTAACTATTTCTAAATGTAATTTCAGTAGTGAAGTACATTCACATTGTTGTGCAACCAACCTCCAGACCTTTTCATCTTGCAAAACTAAAACCCTGTACCTATTAAACAATTCTCCATTTCCTCCTCTCCCCAGCCCTTGACAGCCACCATTCTACTTTGTTTCTTTGAATTTGACTACTCTAGATGCCTCGCATAAGTGGAATCATACAGTATTTGTCCTTTTGTGATTGTCTTATTTCATTTAGCAGAATGTCCTCAAGGTTCATGCATGTTGTAGCACAAGTGAGAATTTCCTTCGTTTTTATTGATTGGCTACTAATATGAATCAGGACCAAAGTGTTAGTACTTGAAATGAGCTGCTAAAAGGAATAATTTGTACCTTAACAGGCCTAGTCTAACATTAGCAGAAGTCCATGCCATCGGGCTAAGTCTCCCCTGAGA